AAAAAGATAACTGCTCACGGGACAGGGAGTAAAGGACGGAGAAAAAGCTGAGATCTGATTGGGGGGGGGGTTAGTCAGCAAAGGTCTGCAGGCTAGGACTGAGGGCTCCTCTGCAGTCTCACTTTCATTGCTTGGGTGCTCTACCCGCTTCCATTTTTTAATTTTCCACATATGTTTTGCTCCCTCTTGTGGTCACTTTGATATTACATTGCTGAGACGCTGAACTGCAGGCTGTGGAAGGTCGGTAGTTCAGCAGTTCGAGACCCGAGTGTGCCGCATGATGGAGTGAGCTCCCGTCTCTAGTTCCAGCTCCTGCCAACCTAGCAGTTCGAAAGCAAGAAATTGCAAGTAGATAAATAGGTACCACTTCGGTGGGAAGGTAACAGTGTTCCGTGCGCCTTGGTGTTTAGTCATGCCGGCCACATGACCACGGAAACGTCTTCGGACAGCGCTGGCTCTTCGGCTTTGAAACGGAGATGAGCACCGCAACCCTAGAGTCGGATTCGACTGGCTTTCGAGCAAGGGAAACCTTTACCTTTACATAGTTGGCATCAGAGGATAGAACCCGAAGCAACGTGTTTAAGTTATATGCAGAACGGTATTGGCTGGGTATTAGGAAACACTTTTTCCATGGTCAGAGTGGTTCAGAGGTGGAATCAGCTGCTTAGAGAGGTGACAGCTTTCAAGAAGAGACTGGACGGCCACTTGTCAGAGATGCTTTAGGCTGGTCCTGCACTGGGCAGGGGGTTGGACTAGATGGTCTGTATGGCCCCTTCCAACTCTATGATTCTATCTCCGGCACATTTTCCTGCAGTTTTAAAGTGCAGGAAAATATGCTGGAGATACAGCAATGTAATATCGAAACAATTTTATAAAATATTTTTTTTTTTTTAAAGAAACAGAGGGAGCAAAATACAAGTGGAAAAGGAACAAAACGAAGCAACGGGGACACATAAGCAATGAAAATGAGAGTATGGAAGAGCCCTGAGAGATTGGAAGTTGTGAGAGAAAGGTTAGTCTAACAGCTGTGAAAGAAAGACCTGAGTATATCAAGATCTTTGGGTTAAGTTCCCATGTAGGTAATTGAAGCATTACAGTAGGCCTTATAGGGTGGGATGTGAGATTTAGTCGCAGCATGCGACTGTATTTAAATGTCATAAAAGCTGTCCAAGAGTGTTTTTCTTCCCTCATCATGTACTGTGTAGAACCCAGCATGCCACAACTCCTGGCTGATTGTCACAGCTGACCTCAGCTGCATGTTTCTTTCCAAACAGGCTTTGTTCTGGTTCACTTTTAAAATAAACCCACCTTGTTCTTCTTAGTCTACCTCAGTTATCAATCCAGATTTAGGTGGGTTTATATCCAGATCCATATTCTATCCCCTCAAACCTTTTAAAATCTTGCTGGGAATCCCACGGCCATGGGGATACCTGAAAATGTGTGACAGGGAAAATTCCCAAGGATTGGTGGCTAGAAATCCATCAAAACCTCTAAAAGAGAGAGGCTGCGGAGAAGTACGCTTCTTCACATTTGGCTACTGAGGTCAGGTTTGTGGATTCCATTCAAGGAAGTGGACCGTATTCACACAGTCCCACATCTAGAGCACACAGGTGGGAGGCCACGTGCATCAACAGCACATCCTTTGGTCAGTCCTGAGCTTACCAACCACACTGAGTTCCAGTATTATGGGGCAGGGAGTTTTGTGCCCATCTCCATCATCCAGCTCCTGCCAACCTAGCAGCTCGAAAGCAAGAAATTGCAAGTAATGCCGGCCACATGACCACGGAAACGTCTTCGGACAGCTCTGGCTCTTCGGCTTGGAAACGGAGATGAGCACCGCAACCCTAGAGTCGGATTCGACTGGCTTTCGAGCAAGGGAACCTTTACCTTTACCATCATGCCCACCCTGACGTTTTCCCCTCCATAGGTTAAAAAATGCTTTAGCGTTTCCTTGCACAGAAACCAGCAAGAATGCCAACAAGAGAGGGCCAAGAGCAAAGCCGCACGTTACGGTGGACAAGTCCAAACCTTGCCCGCTGATGCCAGTTTAGAAGAAAACTGTTGTGAGGAACATTATAGTAACAAAATGGAAAGAAGGGGAGCCCCCAACTATATCTTCTTGGTAGTTTTGGGAATATTTCATTCTGGATAAGTTAACATATGATACGGATAATAATCGTTCTGTAGGATCTAAATGGCATTTTGTCAAAAAATGGCTGCCCTTCGTTAGAAATGACTTTAAGTGGCAAAAACTTTAACCCACTGATTTGCATAAGATGGAATCTTTCGTATTGTTTACCTAAGGTTTAAGAGCCTCTTTGTTGAGTACCACTTATGTAAGTTGGTCTCATAACTGTTGTATGTTTCACTTGTTAAAACATTTGACTTATAATTACTTCGTGATTTAGAAATAAGCTATTGCAATTTTAATTGTCGTTTAACTGAATAAAAATTTAATTTAAAAAAAAACTGTTGTGAGGGCCCAATTGGGCCTGCATTGCAGCAGCACCACCAGGTAATCTTTCCCTCCCTCCCCCTCCACCCTAGTACTGAGACAACTGTAGGAATCTTTAAACCGCTAAATTTCCCCATGTCTGCTGTAATATGTTGTTTGGCTCCAAGAATTGGGACTGGCTCTACTAAGTGTTTTGTGGACCAGGTCAGAGGGCAGCAGTGTCCCCTCTAAGCTGAGCTAGTGTGAGCTAGCTCACAGTTTTCTAGCCTCCGGCTCACACATTTTTGCCTTCGCTCAGGAAGGGACGGCTCCAGAGCATACTAATTTATGCAGCAGCCAAATCGCTCACTCACAGCTTTTAATGCCAGTACCTCACAAAGTAGAATTTTTGCTCACAAGACTCCACAGCTTAGAGGGAGCCTTGGAGGGCAGCCAGGATCACTCACAGCTCCTCACCTCGTCGATGATGTTGTCAAACTCTTTCTCCATCTCTGATTTCACCTCTTCCTTAAGCTTGGCCATCTCTGATTTGGGCAGAAAGATGTCCTCCAGCTCTTTTTCAAACTTCCCCAGCAGGTCTTCCTCTTCCTCCTCCTCTTGTCCTCCTCCTTCCTCAGAATGTTCTTGCTCTGCCACCTGTTCGCTTTTTGGTGGGGCTTCTTGTGCTGCTGTCTCTGAGGAGCTGGCTTTCTCTTTGCTCTGAGGAAAACAAAGGGGAGTTTAGAAATGGTTAAAGGGGGGGGGGAGAGGAGGAGAGAGATTTTTCACACCGTAAGTCTTAAGGCCTTAGTCTGCTCCCTGCATAGAATGGCGTTCAACAGTATGAGGCATCTAGTATCATGTTGCCCCACGGCCTTCTGGGAAGGAGCAGCAAAAACACAGACAACTGTACAACTGAACACAGGACTTTTCAGTTGGATATAAGAACATAAGAGAAGCCAGTGTTGGATCAGGCCAATGGCCCATCGAGTCCAACACTCTGTCGCACAGTGGCCAAAAATACCAGGTGCCATCGGGAGGTCCAGCAGTGGGGCCAGGCCCATGTTTCCCTATGTCTTCCCAGAAGGCCATGGGCGAAACCGGACACTAGCCACACTCTCACTGCAAATACGAACAGGCCAGAGAGATAAAGAAGGCAACACCCCCACCCCGCCTACACAAACCTTTACCTTCCTGGCACTGTCTTTCAGCTCGTGAATGAACTGGACCAGGTCCCCTGGGTTCCGGATAACTTTGAAATGGATTTTTTTCTTGAAATCTGAAAGGTTACAGGTAAACAAACATTAGACTCCTCTTGGCAACCAGTATTTGGCTAGAATTGCCTCCCCCAAGACTATGTGGAAGCATGCAAAAAGGTCCCAGGTTCAAGCCCTGGCATCACCACTTAAAGGATCTTTGGTAGCGGGTATTGGAAAGCCTCTTCTCTGCTGGAAGCCCCGAAGACACTTGGAGAGAGGCAGCTTTGTATGCTGAGACGCCTTGCTTAGAGTCCAGACTAGCCTGATGTCAAAAGCTAAGCAGGATCGGCCCTGGAGAGTATTTGGATGGGAGACCTCCAAGGAACACCAAGGGTGTGACGCGGAGGCAGGGGAATGGCAAACCACCTCTGAATGTCTCTTGCCTTGGAAACCCCATATGGGGTTGCCATTAAGTCAGCTGTGACTTGACGGCACTTTCAACCACCACCAGGTTTACACACAATGCACTGCACTGCACTGCAAGGAAAGCTGGATTCTGGCACATATTCGCAGTTAGAGGTTTATTCCGTTTCTGAGCAGAGGTCCCTCGCCCTCGCTCTTCAGTTTGTGGTACCCCCCCCCCCGAAGTAGACATACTTCATCTTCATATCCCGCTATCCTCAAAGTTAGCCGCTTCCTAAAAAGCCACATACCTACTCTTCGATATATTGAAAAATACTGAATTTTGCACCCAGTGCCAATTTCTGTGCTCATTCTGTGCTGATAACAGAATAGGCAGCCCTTAATGCCTCTCCTGCATATAAGAAAACAATGGAGCTGTAGCAAAGGGTTTGACCTGGATCTGATAAGAAGAGGAAGAGGAGATTGGATTTATACCCCGCCCTTCACTTGGAGTCTCAGAGTGATTTACAATCTCCTTTCCCTTCCCCTCCCGACAACAGACACCCTGTGAGGTAGGTGGGGCTGAGAGAGCTCTTTCGAGGACTGGTCTTGAGAGGACAGCTGAGCTTGTGACTGACCCAAGGTCACACCAGCAGCTGCATGTGGAGGAGTGGGGAATCAAACCCGGTTCCTCCCAGATTACACACTCCTAACCACCAAACTAAACTGGCTCACCTTGGGTTCTCATCAGCCATGAACTTACTAGCTGGCATGAGCCAAGTCACTAGCCCTCAGTGCCACGTGCCCTCTGTGGGTAACTGTGGAAACCGTTACCTGCTGTACACTATTGACCAAGGCACTCGGTTTAAGAGAAGTACCTTCACTTTGCTAACTACAATAACCAGAGCAGCAGCTGCTCTGCCCTCACACCACAGAAGCTTTCCGCTTCTCATTCCAAGATTCTGATTGTTAAGACTGAAAAGAGCAAAATGTTTAAAAGTGCCTGAGTATCTTTTGGGGAAGCCCCAGGAGGTAAGGAGGGTGCAGAAGTTTCAGGATGGGAAGAGTGTGGTGCGCCCTGTAGAACTCTTTGCTCCATCCCTGGCAAAAACTGAACGAACTGTGCAAGTGGATCCGCAGAGAGACACAAACAAACATTTCCATATGTTGACTGTTTCTGACCAAAGTATCTGTTATCTTGGTGAAGAGAGTTCAAGATGGGCGGCCCTGTTAGCCTGTCTGTAGCAGCAGAAAACAGCAAGAGTCCAGTAGCACCATAAAGACTAACAAAATCTGTGGCAGCTTTCGTGAGTCACTGCTCTTTTCTACTGGTGGAGAGAGTCCTTTTCCGAACGAAAACTAGAAACCATGAACAGGACCCTGCAGTTTTAGCCTCTTGCAATCAGTTACCGATGTGCCTTTCAGTAACAGATAATCTACACTGATGAATACTAAACCTATTATGGGAAGAGGCGGCTCTCACAGAGACTAACTCCTTTCAGCAGATTAGAGAACAGGGCAGGTAGCCAGCCAGAGGTCAGTGAAGCAGCGTGAGGGGAAACCAATCCTTGGGGGGGGGGGGCAGAAGAGGCATAAAACGAGTGCCTCCCCGTATGCTCTCCAGGATGACTCTCACCCCCTCCCCAAATGCTACAGAGCTGGGTGTATGGAAAGCTGCACGCTCCACAGAGAACTGTTTTTCATACATCTAACCCCACTCAGCACCTTCAGACCACACGCCCGTGCTTACCTGCTAGGTGATTGTCTGCTGTCTTCATGATGGGCTCTTCCTCCTGCAGGAGAGGATACAAGCGGAATGACTCGAATGCAACACATAGGAACCATTGCTGTGGAGTTAAGACAGGGAAGTCTTTCAAAGTGACACAGGCTGCGGTCACACGGAGCATTAGCCATGCTACTGAGACGGATGATAGGCGGATTTTCCGGGCGCGATCACACTGCCACATCTGGGAAGCGTAGCACTCCCGTGGCGAACCCGAGGCTTCCCGCCGAAGATGCGGGGTAAAAAACTAGTACCTCCGAGATACTAGTTTCCGGAAACCGCAGGGCAAGGGCGGGCGCCTGATCGCGTTTTCGGTGGAATCCCGTGGCATCCGGCGCCCGCCCATATCCCTTCATGAACAGGGTTTTTTTTCCACGTCTC